AGGAGGAATGAGGGATGAAAAAAGTACTCATAAAGGAGTGTGGGTCAGTATGGCTGTGGATCAGAGCTTGGAGACCTGATCTGAAAGAGTACATGTACTTTGGTGGCTGTTGAGGAAAAGACAGATTAGGGCTTTGTTGCGAAAGAAAATAAATGGGACTCTATGGGAAAAAACGACAAATAGAGAAGTGCGCGTCAGTATGGCTGTGGATTAGAGCTTGGAGCGGTGCCCTGAGTGAGTACATGCATTTCGGTGGGTGTTGGGCAAAGAAGTAATAGAGTTTGAGTGGTGGTAAAAATGAATGGGACTCTATGGGAGGAACGAAGGATGAAAAAACTACAGATAGAGGATTGTGGGTCAGGACGGCTGTGGATTAGAGCTCGGGGACCTGCCCTGAGTGAGTACATGCATTTTGGTGACTGTTGGGCAAAGAAGTAATAGAGTTTAAGTGGTGGCGAAAATTAATGGGACTCAATGAGAGGAAAGAGGGATGAAAAAATCAGAAATAGAGGAGTGTGGGTCAGTATGGCTATGGACTACAGCTTGGGGATGTGCCCTGAATGAGTCCATGCATTGCGGTGGCTTTCGGGCAAAGAAGTAATAGAGTTTGAGTGGTGGCGAAAATGAATGAGACTCAGTGAGAGGAACGAGGGATGAAAAAAAGACAGAAAGAGGAGTGCAGGTCAGAATGACTTTGGATTGGAGCTTGGAGACTTGCCTTGATTGAGTGCATGTAGTTTGTTTGCCGTTGGGTAAAGAAGCAATAGAGTTTGAGTGGTGGCCAAAATGAATTGGACTCTAAGGGCAGATCGAGGGATGAAAAAATGACAAATAGAGGAGTGTGGGTCAGTATGGCTGTGGATTAGAGCTTGGGGACCTGCCCTGAGTGAGTACTTGTATTTCGGTGGGTGTTGGCTAAAGAAGTAATAGAGTTTGAGTGGTGGTAAAATGAATGGGACTCAATGAGAGGAACGAGAGATGAAAAAATGACAGAAAGAGGAGTGCGGGCCATTATGGCGGTGGATTAGTTCTTGTGCTAGCTAAGTGCAATTCCACCTTAAAAGCAGTTCCACCTTAAAAAATCATCATGTGTGCTGACACTGCTGAGCATTAGGCTGGGAGCGGGTGAGACATTGGGCTCCGTGCGTGAGTTTGGATGGGTGTGTGAGTTAATGGGCTATTGTGACATCATGTCTGGCATGCTGCCAACAGTCCACTCAATGTAAGTCTAAGAGAGAAACAAATGATGGAATAAAACGACAAACGGATGAGTGCGGGTCAGAACGACAGTGGATTCATGCTCGGGGGCCTGCCCTGAGATAGTGTATCAAAAACGGTGTCGTTCGGACAAGCAGAAGTACCTTAGATTGGCATGAAAATGTTCACCCTATTCATTCTCTATGGGAAAAATTCCACAAAATTCCCTTGCTACACGGAATCTGTGCATCCGATCAGAAAGCTGTATACAGGCATGCATCACACAATCAGGCCGGACAATCTGGAGTTGGAACGGTGTCAATATCTCGAAAGCTGCGGGACGAGTTACGCGGCAAAGAATAAGAATAAGAAGAAGAAAAAGAAGAAGAAGAAGAAGAAGAAGAAGAAGAGGAAGAAGAAGAATATAAAGCGGATAAGAGGATAGCTAAAGCAAGGCGCAACCATAATAAACTGTAAGCAAAAGCTGCTGCTGGCATTAGCCATGTTGAATGACTGTAGCTACAGGCTAGTCACAACAAAAGCACATTAGTTTGTGTGCATTGATCTCAGTTGAGAATGTGGTTTTGAGAGGAAACACAGAACTAATCCTGGAGTAAAACTTTATACTAAAAATACATTTTAGACCAAAACTTTATAACAAAACTATCACAAAACAATGTTTCAGGTCTCAAGCCATGCATTCATAGCCATTTTGTGTAATAACTTAACAGTATGTAGCTTTTAGAGCCATTAAACGTGTTGCACGTCTGGTTCCTAGTACTATAATGGTGAATAATTTTGACTCAGCAAATTTCTCTGGAAAAGCGCATTGTCCAGCGAACCACTCTGAATGATTTCGTTCACATCTAAATCATTGAATGATTAAGTAATTTGACAAAATTGGTGGAGTTCCAATTTAAGGCATCAGACTTGCCAGTTCTTTTTTCTATCTATACTATAAAAATACTGAAACAATGTCAGTACTCACACAGCATATAAAGGAAATTAAATAAGTTGAACGGATTCTCCCTTCAGCGTACCTAACCATGCTTAACCGACCGTGTTTACAGTTGTGCTGCTCTGTGCCAGGTTAGAGCCTTAAGTGCCAATCAGGAAAATACTGAAAGTATATCTCCCACACCATACACACCAGCATCAAGATTACACCTCATTTTTTCTCTTGCAATATGTCCATGAAAATACAGCCCCATGAGTTTTACGACAATACTGACCTAATTCCAGATGAAATAACTCAGCAGTGAGTACTTGTACCTCCACTTGAGCTGAGTCTGAATTCAGTTTAATTTTTCCTTTATCTTGCTGTATAAGCAGCTTTATTTACCTATTTAGACCAATAAGTGCACCAGTAATAATAATAATAATAATAATAATAATAATAATAATAATAATAGTTGTAACGTGCCAACAAGAGTCAGACACTCACGGTTAGAAAATACAAAGGAGGCTTTACTGTTAGAATCAGAATCCAAGTTCATAGTCACAAAACAGGCAGGGGTCATCCAAAAGGAGCAGCAAATACAAACAGATGACCATAACCAAGGGCAAACAATCCAAGAGGGTTAAGCAAAATGGCAGTGTCAAGGAAAACAGGCAAAAAGGTCAAAAACAGGAGTCTAACCAGAAAGGCAAACAGTCCAAAGGGGTAAGGCAAAAGGCAGAGTCAAAAAACGGAAAGCAATGGTCATAAACAGAATACAGGCAAATAGTAGAACGCTCAGTAGATCACAGAAGATACAATATCATGCAATTAACTATGGTTAAAGCCCAGGCTCATTAACTAAACTAAGGAGGTCATATGACATGAGGCACAGGTGAAGAGAATCAGTATTCAGGAGATCTAGAGCGCTGATTGGAGCGTAAGAAAAGGTCAGGAGTCATGTGATCCCCCAGAGGGATCTGTTAGATGGATTTTGCGTACGTCTTGGAGCTCAACAGATGCATGACAATGGTAGCAATAATAATAATAATAATAATAGTAATATAATATTTTGATGTGTCAATCGCAAATTTATTTCAATTCGTGAACAGTGTAACATTAGCTGGCTCAGAAGCTATGATGCTATTGGTGTTAGCATGTATGCTTATGCTAGCAGCTAGAGAATTATTTTTTTGCTCCTATTTTACACTCTCTAGAGAAAATTTTGAAAACAATTTGCTTTACACCTGATTCTGAGTACCTCTTACAGTCAGATATGCTATTATGCTAATTATAGCTAATTTATTAATTTATAATTTATTAAATTTATAATAATTAGAGCTAGCCCGCTAGATCTGTCATCATGAAGTAATTTAATACATAACAGTAGACAACATTTTGGAATTATGAATTTTCAAACAAATCTGTGAAGATCTACTCCTATATCAGCTTTGAATTCTGAATTTGAAGTTTTAGACAATTTCATAGCAGACGCTCCAACTGCTATCAAAATTTTAAATTGTCCTGTTTAAATAAGATACCTTGATTTACTTGAAAAATATTGATCCGTGTATTATTATTATTTGGTGGTTGTGGTGGTGTTATACAGTGTTGTGGTTTAGTCAAGCATTACAATCCTAAAGAAATGTAATTTTACAAAGTGAATATTACACAATTCTTTATATAATACAATCCAACCTGTTATTTACTGAATTATGTTAAATAATACTATACCATCAATATATTAGTGAGCAGTTAGCTTTCTCATGCTGGCTGTAGTACATTATGACTAGGTAATATAATACAAAGACTACTGTTAAATTTTCATGTAATCACTAATACGAGCCTATTACAGTGCTTGTAGCCTAAATTAAGCAGTTACTAGAAGTAGATTAAAGCATGCTGATTTCACTAGCAATGTTATGAGTGGTGTATGTACAAAATGATATATGAGGTTAGCATTTAACAAGCAAAATCTGTTAATTATCCTCATAAACTATTACATTTATTATAGTGATGACATGTGGTTAGATCAGTGGTCTTCAAACCAGTCTTCAGGTTTAAAGACCTCTGCGTTAGATTATAGTATATGTGCTGTATGCCTGAAAGTCACTCTGGGTAACATTAGTATAGCGTCTTATACAGAACTAAACTTAGTGAGACGTTAAATCTATGGCTGAACCTGTTCTAAGTTTGGCTGAGAACCAGTCACTGCTGATTTTGTGGTTGCTGTTTCCACATTGAATCTCACAAAACCCTTCCAAAACTACCAAGGACCTGGCTATCCTCAGGCTAGTTAGGGACATGAGGGGCACTGCTAATGAACTGAAGGCTTGAGGCAATAGCAGATAGCAATGTTTGGTAAGCTGTGATTAGAGGGCTGAGAAAAGGTGGAGCTTGGTGGACAGCATAATGATTTTTAATGTCTATAATACATTGACAGTGCTCATAGAAAACAAATCCAATTTAATCTTAAAAAGTATGTATCAAATAAATCTATGGAGAACACATTTTACTGCTCCTTCACCAGCACTGGATCAGAGAATATCTAGTCATGAATTTTTAGACAATTGCATAGCATAGTGCCTCCAGCACCACTGCTGTCATAATACAAGTCTTATATAAGTCTAAATATTCCATCCCCATTTGACTGGATAGGCCTGTGATAACCCTGGTTGTGCCCAGAGTAGGCTTTTGCATTATCAGAATGGTGCTGTTTCCGTATTAAATTTCATGAATGAAGGCACATGAAAAAATTAAACACTTCTAAAACTGTGTTCTTATAGGAAATCATGGCCATGTGAGGGACCCCCACAGAAAAATAACAGTATAATGTGAATTGTTTGTAATTACTGTGTTTCCACAGTGGACTCTTCAAAAAACCTCACTTTTGACCCTTGCAATAACAACAGTGTGCTTAATAACGAATGGAGAAGAACAGACATAGAGTTTTACACCAACTACGGTGGCTTTGATGACACCCTTGTTGAATGGAGTGGCTGGTATCGTCTGTATCTTCAAGGAAAAAGTGCTCAGATTCCTGAGTCTGATTGGTGTTGGAGTTTTATGACCTGTGGTGGTTACACACCACTTTTGCTTGGAGGATCTCATCCTCAACCAGAGGATGGCATCGTCACCCGAGACATCTATGGTTCCTACGGCTATGTGATTGATAGCTCACAATGCAATTCCCACAAATCAAACCCAATCCAAGTCAAAGCCTGCCCAGGAGATTATTACGTCTACAGGCTTGTCAGGCCAGTTGTATCACTTCCAATGCCAACATACTGTGCAGGTAAAATTCTGCTTTTTCAATGCTGTTTTTTGACAATGACTGTATAAGGCTAATTTTACTTGCTGCAGTTTTGAGCACCATATGACGTTTGTGACTGGTTACATAGAATAAGTTGTCTTCCTACTGTTTTGCTTAACTATGTGTATATTGTTCTTTTCATGTTTTTTTGTGAACATGAAACAAATAAGCAAATCAAAATTTGTACTGTACCTTGATTACTGAAAAGTCAGACATTTTAACCTTACATAGGATCTCACCTTTCCAACAAGTCAGTTCCTTTGCCCTGCTGGAGTTGCATCAGTCAACTGTAAGTGATCCAACTATGAAACGGAGTTGTCTGGGAGTGAGAGCAGCTCAGTTGCATAGCAGTAGGCCACACCTCCTCACAGAACAGATCCATCAGGTGCTGAAGTTCATATAATGTAAAAATTGTCCTCAACTCTGACACTCACTACTCACATGAGTTCTAAATGGCTTCATTAGCACAGAAACTGTTTGTTTAGAGCTGCATGGATTAGGCTTTGATGGTTGAGCAGCTGCATACAAGCTGTCTGATGGTTGAATCTGGAACTGGTGAATGCCTAGAGAATGCTACCTGCCTGAGTGCCAACAGTAAAGTTTGGCTGATAAATAAAATAATAATAATAATAATAATAATAATAATAATGAAATAATAATAATAGCCTGGAGCTTTTTAATGGTTTTGACTGAATCTCTAGATACATGGAAAGGAAATTATAATGTTACAATATATTCAACAGGAATGATTTTCCAAGTTTGGTGTGGAAGAATTTGATTGCACAGAGCCATGACCTTAAATTGCTAGGCTTATTACATATTAACTACATACTGTAGTTACTTATTCAGTAACTATAGGGACTTCACTACCCACTGGCTGAGCTATTTAAGGGGTTAACTCAAATGAACACTTTTGTGATGAACTGGAATTTGGCCTTGTCAAAAGAGTAGAGATTGTTATAGAAGCAAATTAATTCACATAGTTTTGGAATACCTTTGGCCATTTAGTGTACGTACTGCTCAACATTGTTTGAGAAATGGATTAAAATGTACTTTCTATCCATCACTAAATCCAAAGGAATTTATACAATAGGCAAAGAAAAGGATGAACTGCAATCTATCCATTTTTGGCCTCTCTTGCACGACATTCATCACAAATCATGATTTAAAATATGCAGCTTGGAGGTATAACATGACTATCAATCATGTCTTTGGTTATTATAACAAATAGTCAATTTGGGGTAACTTTTTAAAGAAATAATAAATAAATAAATTGAATGTTAACATATCTTTTTATGACAGTTGTTTTCGACACTCCCAGTTATGATCCCTGCAATAACTACACTGCTCTGGATCAACCCTGGAGAGGCACTAATGAGACTGGACTGTGGATCTGTGACAATGACTTCAACTGGAATGGCTGGTATCGGCTGCTGTATAACGGGATGAGTGTCCGTATGCCAGAGAGCTGTGTTAATAAAGACAGATGTGGTACTTATGTCACTTTGTTCCTGAATGGATCTCACCCTCAGATAGAGGATGGAATAGTCACTCGTGCAGTCTGTGGGAATGTAGGCTGGGGGGACTGCTGTTATCTTAGATCTACTCCAATTCGAGTCAAAGCATGTCCAGGAAACTATTATGTCTATGAGTTTGTCAAGCCAAACTTCTGTAATGCAGCTTACTGTGCAGGTACTCTGTTATTATTTTAGCTTTTACCTGTGTTTTTAAAAGGTTTTGCTAATAATCATTAGGCCTTCAAATCTGTTGTAACATTCTTTTTTCAGATGTGAACACCATCGATCCAAACACCACCCTGAACTCTACACCTAGTGTTGCACTATCAAGTATTAACACTAGTAAGTGTCCTATGGCTCTTTCAGTATCTTAGCTTCTTGCAATTATCTTGTCTAAACTAAGATTAATGGCTTTAAAATAAAGAGATGAAGATGGACAAGGAGATAAGATGGACAAGGAGATTAGTTTCAATATGAGACTTCATATCATTAGTATCCAGAGAAAAACATGTATCTCCATTTTTTTCTTGATTTTTTTTTCTTTTCTACATCATTTGAGCAAGACAACTGTCCTTCACATTGTGGGAAAATTTCATGATGAATGAACCAATAGATATAATGCTCCAAAATGGCTTGGAAAAAATCTTTTCAACTTATATTGAAAGTAAATAAAGTGCCTTTACCTGTAAACTACACATTTTTGAGATGTTGTTTTTTTTTTTGGGACAGCAATGATATGTATGTACGAAACTTTACTGGCATGTACCTGAGGTGGCTGTAGCCATAATCACATAATGCTTGCAAAAGACAGCTTGGACCCCACAGATTGTTGCTTGCAGCTATATTTATGATTAATTTTGCTGTGATTGGTGCTATATCTTTTGATAGCGTGTGAGTCACTCTGGCAACTTTCTTACTTTGGCTGATTTTTATTTATTTTATCACCTATGATATGCAAGCTTAAAGATGTGTTGCTTGTTGGGGTAGTCGAATTTGAAATGTTGTAAGCTCTGAGTTTTGAGAGATCTCTATGTAATTTCTAGAAATTTGTAATTATTGAAAATAGTGTTTTTAATTCAAAGTGGTTTACAATGATTTTACAATAAGTTATTTTCAGAATTGGCCTGATCCAAACCTGAGCAGGAACCCTCAGTCAAATATTGGGGGCAAATTATACAGTATAATGAATATTCTCCCAGCCTGTACGTGAGAGTGATGCTGCAGTCATTTCTTAGTGGATTACGTCTTATAAGAAAAGGAAAGTTGTTCATGCAACACGTTATTGAATGCACAGAATAAAGTCTTATTACTGTTCAAAATATTTAATGGTTAGTATTGAAGGGTTACTAAGATTAAGATTATTTTTCACTTAAAGTGCATAAGATCCTATTGGTAGTTTCTTGGTAGTTGGTAGTTATAATTACTTATATTTTTTAACCAAAAGTTTATGCTGACTACCTGTCCGTACACACACACACACACACACACACACACACACACACACACACAGAGACATATAAATATGTATATTGCTGTTGTCAGAAGAAAACCTCATCTCCATAATGGCAACTTTACAAGAGAATGAAAAAACATACTTTACTTTTAATGTAAGTCAATGGAAACCTGACCTTTTTTTAAGTCATTTTGGGGAATTTCTTTTAGTACTTTCATTATGAAATTTACATACAATGTAAAGAGTAACAGGTATATTCAAATTATGTGAAAATTTGAAAACCATCAAGGTTTTCTTCCGACAACAGCGACATATGTGTATATATATATATATATATATATATATATATATATACATTTATATATATATACATATATATATATATATATATATATATATATATATATATATATATACTTATTTATTTAAATGTGAAGTTTACATGTACTGAGATTTGAATTAGTATGTAAGCGTTATTACAGTTATTTATATTATCAGGTCATTATCTGCTTGTCCTTAGCATCCATTTTAAACTGTATTTAAAACCTGTACACTTTACCTTAGTTGTGAAGTCTTATTTGGTTTACCCTGCATTTCTGAGCCTGTTTTTCTCATATGGTTTTTGACTTTTTTTTACTTGACCCTGACTACGAATTTGGATTTGTGTCTTTTGACATTAAACTTTGTGTGACAACCATACTGACAATATTAATAAATTAATTATTTATTGTTAGTTAGTAACTCATCTATAATGACTGTGTTTCCACAGCAGACACTCCAAAAAACCTCACTTTTGACCCCTGCAATGTCTCCAGAGTTCTTGATGATTACTGGAGATCAGTTGACACTAGTGACCGTGGTCATGATGACACTCTTCTTGAATGGAATGGCTGGTATCAGCTGTATATTGAGGGAAGAAGGGCTCAGATTCCTGAACCTGAATGGTTTTGGAGTTTGGATTCCTGTGGTGGTTACACACCACTTTTCCTTGGAGGATCTCATCCTCGACCAGAGGATGGCATCGTCACCAGAGACATCTATGGAACATATAGCTATGTGGCTGATAGCAGTCAGTGCAATTTCTACAAATCAAACCCAATCCAAGTCAAAGCCTGCCCAGGAAATTACTACGTCTACAAGCTTGTCAAGCCAGCTGTGTCAATTCCAATGCCCACATACTGCGCAGGTAAAACTCTGCTTTTCAAATGTTGTTTTTTCAAGTTAAGTCAAAATTTGCACTGTGGGGTGATACAAAAACATGACAGAAAATTCAGAAACACACCAGCAAATTCAGAAACACTCCAATAAATTCAGAAATGCAAAAAAGGTAGTCAAAGAAAGGGCCCCAAACTCCAGCAAATTCAACCTGTGATCCAGTTCTAAAGTACTGTATCCTTTCTAGTTGTAAGGCAGAAACCATTTCCTCTAACCATCTGTGGAAGCTGAATGGGGAGACAGATTTCCACTCTCTTGATATTACTCTTATAGGTATTACCATTCCTAGGCCAAGAACCTGTTGTTTGCATCTGGGCAATTTGAGGGAAGCATCTGAACAACCAAAAACAGCCTGACACACATCAGGGCAGATCTATCATACACCTTTGAAAAAAAGATCAAATATGTTTTTTTTTGTTTTGTTTTCTTTTTGTTTTTTTTTTTCCCCCAAAAACTATAGAAATGAGAAGAGAACTAGAGACTGGATGTGCTTTCACAGCCACTCTATAGCTATATGATGTGCTTTAAAACTTCAAATAAAGTGCATTATTATAAAATGTAGTGCCTTAAAAAGTAGAAGTATTTAAGTATAGAAATCTAAGGAGAAAAAAAAAAAAAAACATTTTTGCTGCAATAACTCATCCCACCATAGACAGGGCAAAGATCTCCAGCCTTTGAAGCCTCCTTCCACTTTATTGAGTGCCTTGGCAAACTTAAGTTTAAATCTGTGTCCTGGGTTTCTGGTTACAGTCACACTGAAATGCATGAAACTATCACAACTTACTTTGAAAGAAAGCCCACTGAGAAACTTCATCAAAATCATTATTAGGAGGCGTGAACATATATTTTTCCCAGTTAACTAAATATGCAGTATACCCACCAAAAAGTGTAAAAATGTATTCTAAATTAAAAAAAACCTTTCTAGAATAATAAATTCTAGATGTGGCGGGAGGCAGGACGAGGTGTAAGACAGAAACCCAATCACATCTTCTGCACTTAGTGACAATTTGCTCTCCACACTGCCAAAACTGATTCCTTTAATGATGTAATGATCTCTGATATAGCTCAAAGGTTGTAATACCAGATTCAAAATCAAAGAACTTAGGCAACATCCCTGTCTTGTAACATGATGTAAGGGGAAACATTCAGATCTTTCGTGTTTGGTCAGTACAGAAGACTTAGGGGCCAAATACAGCACTTTGGTAAAAGACAGAGGGTTCCAATCCTTCATGAAGTTTACTATACAGTATATGAAGTAAGCAATGAACATTCACAAAAAAAAGCCAGTAACAAAGCATGTTTAGTCAGAATGAATGAAAGATGACACATGTCCACCCAAACTCTTAGCCATAGCAATTGCGATTACTTTTGGTCACAGTTGAGCAGATTTATGGGTCTTTACCCAGCAGGATCAGTTCTAGTCTTGTAAGGCCAGACATGACCTTGTAATGAGAATCCACACCCGGGGACAACCCATTTAACTTTTGGTGCTGGATTATGGCTAAATCTGCCACAAACAAGGGAACGCCCCCTCTAATCCCCTCTCCAAATTCCTCTAGTGTGTCAGTGTTCGGAGTATAAAGGATAACACAAACAAAACAACATAGCTAATGAAGCGCTAACATTAGCTCATGTTCATTCTTCATAATAAATCAGAATCATAATCACTTTCTTTTGCCAAGTATGTTAAACATATGAGGACTTTGTCTAGGTGAGTCCACACTTGCATGACATGTAACCATGCAACACATCAAAAAGACCAGACAAGCTAACAGACTGTTACCAATTATTTAGTTATGTAATTATGTTAAAAATGAATGTAAACATGGCATTATTTCATGATGCATTAAGTATTAATCCATGCATTAATTTACTGTGATGAAAACATGAGTTAAGTATTAATACATGCTTATTTGTGGACAAGTATTATAAAGTTTTAACACTAAGGTGATAGGTAACCCGCTAACACATCAATCACTCCTTTTTTTTCTTGCACTAGCTGGCTAAGGTACTCAAAATTAAGTAAAATATAATAGTTACCTCACACATATTAACTTACACAAAGGTAACATATTTGATAAAAAAAAAAAAACTACATAATACAAACGCAAGAAAATTACTCTGATATGTACTTTACGGTCTTGTGCAGTCCACCCAACTTGTAATTAATCTGTAAAAGGTATGGATTTTTGAAAAATAAATTCTCTAAAAAAACGAAACACCGTTCAGCTGGTTGTTCATAGATGGAGGTCTGGAGGATACATGTCCTGCTTTTTCTTTGCTGTGTTAAAAAGCACATAGATCTAACAGAACTGCATTAAGTGTATATATTTGTTTGCATTCACTGCAAGTTTAGCATTTTTTACTTATGTAAAAAGTAAAAGGGTGTGTTATAAGTCTTATCTAGTTATCTTGTAAATTCATGTATCATCTAGAATACCGAGTTTACTAGCTTTAAATTTGACCATTCCAGCAAAATTTACAAGTAGGAAAATGGTATTTTCCAGTTTCTGACACCACTCAGGATGCATATTTGGACCAGCCAAACAAACTGAAATGTGTTTTTTTTTTTAAGATATCCACATATGTAGTGTAAAGTTGCAAGAAAAAAAATATTGAAAATGAACAGTTTTGGACTAAAGTAATATAAAGTAATATAAAGACTGGAAAAAGTATGTGATGTTTTGAATATAGCCACTCATAGACCCTCCTGTAGTATCATATCTTTAATATGATTATATTTTTGCCGTGTGCATGGTTGTGTCAGTCACTGGGGAGCCCACACCCTCAACCAATTTAAAAATGTACATGCAGTGGGCCCCATTTCTGTCTTTTGCCTAGACATTTGATTAAGCGTATAGTTAATTTATTGTTACAAATGGACTATCCAAACAAAAGTGTTACCTGTAAGCATTAAGCAGATTAAGGACTTCACTGACAAATTTTAGTTATTTACAAAGAAATAAATAAAGATATAAACAAGCCATTAACTTTTCTACAACTGATATTTTAAATTGCTTTCTTAACAGTTAAGACTCTCAGTTATGATCCCTGCAATAACTACACTGCTCTGGATCAACCCTGGAGAGGCACTAATGAGACTGGACTGTGGATCTGTGATGACAACTTCAACAGGAAAGCCTGGTATCGGCTGCTGTACAATGGGATGAGCGTCCGTATGCCAGAGAGCTGTGTTAAAAAAGATAGTTGTGGTACTTATATCACTCTGTGGCTAAATGGCTCTCACCCTCAGATAGAGGATGGAATAGTCACTCGTGCAGTGTGTGGGAATGATGGATCGGACTGCTGTTCTTACAGAGCCTACCCAATTCGAGTCAAAGCATGTCCAGGAAACTATTATGTCTATGAGTTTGCCAGGCCAATCTATTGCTCTGCAGGTTACTGTGCAGGTACTCTGTTGGTTTTTGAGCTTTGGCCTGAGTTTTAAGGAGTCTTGCTAATAATTATTAGGCCTTCATATTTATTTTAATACATCCTTATTTCAGATGTGAACACCATCACTCCAAACAACACATTGATGTCTGTGACCAGTGATGCAATATCAAGTATAAACACTAGTAAGTTTCTCTCATTATTTTTCTTCTGAATAATTTTATTCAAAATCAAGACTGCTGGCCTTAAGGGTTTCTAAATACAGATATACTATGTGGTTGCAGAGTTAACAGATTAACTAGTTTCAGTATAAATCTACAGATACAGTAGCTAAACACAGAGAATTATGTACACATACACAATGTACACATGTGCAGGAGTGTCTAGGCTAAATCAGGACCAGAATCTGTGCACGTCTGCCTTCATAACTTCAGAACGGTTTGTCTTACAGATATGATAGACATATCAGAGCGATCAGCAGACACTTTCTAGTCATTGTCATTGTGTCACAAGTCATTGTATTGTGATCATGTGAGTTGTGCATCAGCAAGTAAGCAGTATAGAAAAATGACCCAAAATCCACTTGATATCTCTGGTTTTAGGCTTCATAACATAAAAATCATATATACATGCATATGTGTTAGAACACAGGACTCACATTCTCTAGCCAGAGTGGTTTCACTTAGGAGCAGAAAAGTATTAGCCAGTAATCCAGCTTGAAAAAGCACCAAAAATTTACATTTTTTCATGCAACAGTTTTGAAAAATCAGGTGAGCCACTGTTTCAGATGCATGATAAAATACATAATATTGGCAGTGTTGTGTGTTAAAAGATGTAATAAAATACGTAATGAAATATTTACCAATAATACAAAAGTCAACACTATAAATTAAACAATAAATAAAAGTACCTGGGACAAGCTGTAAGTCCTGATCGGTCGAGGACCAGAAACAGCAGATGGATGGCTGTAGGAAGACAAAACATTGGGTAAAGGTTTAAAATATTAACTTCAACAATTGAAACAAATACAATCACATTTCTATTGACTAACTATTTTTATTGACTAAGACACTCAAGCCTCTCAAAACCAGTAAACATGTTGCTTCCATTGCTGTGAAATACTTTTTTGTTCCTGGCCTTTTCTCGAATTAGGTGCTCATTGAGGATCATGGCGAACAAGGCACACAACATCTTACTTGTTGTGAAAGACAAGTGTTAATAGTTTAAGGAAAAGCAGAAATACTTTTGGTTAAATAGTACTTGTGCAAAGGTATTTGGTCCACATTTGTACTGGAGTGCTTGCTTTTACATCACATAAGTATTAGAAGTAAAAGTACTGTAAATTATTACAGAAAATATGTAATTTTGATGATTACTTCGTTTAAGGAAACCCACATGGCTACAGTCATGAACAGTTCACTCTCTCCCAATGTAAATCAAATAATATAACTGCAATAACTCTCAGTACTTTTACCTATGATACTTTGGTAAAGTGCCATTTAAAGTCAACCTGAAAAGTGGAACTAGTTCATGTTTCTTTTCTTGTTACCTGTCTTGTTAGTTAATGTCCATGCTCATTTTAAGCACAACTCATTATATCTAAAGGACAGAATTCTTGTCTTACCATACTTTCAATAAAAATGTTATGACTAAATAAATAAATAAAATTAAAAATACCAAATGATATTGTTTCAATCCATTATGATTTCTAAATAACTTTCTGACTGCAATAAATTTTGTAAGTAAAAACATGAATAGAATATTTTTACTCAAGTAATTATAATACGTATAAATGTACATTTTATAAAGTAAAATTCTACTTTTACTCAAATGCAGAAGTTCTGTACTTTTGAAATACACCTTTGAATGCACCTGAATATTTAAATTAATTAATAAATTATGGGTTTAGGTTTGAGTAAATGTCCAATTAAAAAACTGCTGGTACACCAAATACAACACTCATTACTCACCAACTGTTGAGTAATGAGTGTTGTATTTGAGGCCTTCTGAAGTTTCCAGAAGAAGCTCTAAATACATACTTCTTGCCTCCATGGTGGAGAGTTAAGATGGCTTAGACCTTAGTATGGGTGGGATCACCATAACTGCAGTACAAGTGGAATCTGCCCACCTCTGTACAGGTGGAATCTGCCCACCTCAGTATGGGTGGAATCTGCCCACCTCAGTACGGGTGGAATCTGCCCACCTCAGTACAGGTGGAATCTGCCCACATCAGTAAAGGTGGAATCTGCCCACCTCTGTACAGGTGGAATCTGCCCATCTCAGTAAAGGTGTAATCTGCCCATCTCAGTACAGTGGAATCCGCCCACATCAGTACAGGTGGATTCTGCCCACATCAGTACAGATGGAATCTGCCCACTTCTATACAGTTGGAGTCCGCCCACATCAGTACAGGTGGAATCTGCCCACCTCTGTACAGGTAGAGTCTGCCCATCTCAGTATAGGTGGAACCTGCCCACCTCTGTACAGGTGGAATTTGCCCACCTCTGTACAGGTGGAATTTGCCCACCTCAGTACAGGTGGAATCTGCCAACCTCTGTACGGGTGGAATCTGCCCACTTCAGTATGGGTGGAATCTGCTCACCTCAGTAAAGGTGGAATCTGACCACCTCAGTATGGGTGGAGTCTGCAAACATCTGTACAGGTGGAATCTGATCACCTCAGTACAGGTGGAATCTGCCCACTGCAGTACAGGTGGAATCTGCCTAACTTAGTACAGGTGAAGTCTGCCCACCTCTGTACAGGTGGAATCTGCCCACCTCAGTACAGGTGGAGTCCGCCCGCCTCAGTACAGGTGAAATCTGCCCAAAAATATAAAAATATTTCTATGTGTCATTTTGTACATTTGGGTTTGATTTGCTTGTTTGTTATGCATACACAGCTCATGTAATATGTTAAATCAACTTGAAATTGTCAGTTCAGGCAGAGTGTCTGCTATGAGGTATCATGAAATCAGTGCACAGCTGTTCTATGCTGGTCTATGCTGGTGCAGTGCTGGTTTAGCTGTTCATCCAGCAAGTTCATGCTGGATGACAAGCATATCAGCATCGAAACCACAACATACACTTTATTACCAAAAGTATTCACTAGTCTGCCTTCACATGCATATGAACTTGAGTGACATCCCATTCTTAATCCATAGGGGTTTAATATGATGTCAGCCCACCCTTTGCAGCTATAACAGCTCCAACTCTTCTGGGAAGGCTTTCCACAAGGGTTAGGAGTGTGTTTATGGGAATTTTTGACCATTCTTCCAGAAGCACATTTGTGAGGTCAGACACTCATGTTGGACGAGAAGGCCTGGCTCGCAGTCTCCTCTCTAATTCATCCCAAAGGTGTTCTATCAGGTTGAGGTCAGGACTCTGTGCAGGCCAGTCAAGTTCTTCCACACCAAACTCGCTCATCCATGTCTTTATGGACCTTGCTTTGTGCACTGGTGTGCAGTCATGTTGGATCAGGAAGGGGCCGTCCCCAAACTGTTCCCACAAAGTTGGGAGTATGAAATTGTCGAAAATCTCTTGTTCTGCTGAAGCATTAAGAGTTCCTTTCACTGGAACTAAGGGGCCGAGCCCAACTCCTGAAGAACAACCCCACACCTTAATCCCCCTCCACCAAACTTTGCACTTGGCACAATGCAGTACCGTTCTCCTGGCAACTGTCAAACCCAGACTCGTAAGCGTGATTGGTCACTCCAGAGAACACGTCTCCACTGCACGTGTCCAGTGGCGGCGCTTTACACCACTGCATTCGATACTTTGCATTGCGCTTGGTGATGTAAGGCTTGGATGCAGCTGCTCAACAATGGAAACCCATTCCATGAAGCTCTCTACGCTGTTCCTGAGCTGATCTGAAAGCCACATGAAGTTTGGAGGTCTGTAGCGACTGACTCTGCAGAAAGTTGGTGACCTCTATGCACTATGCGCCTCAGCATCCGCTGACCCCGCTCTGTCATTTTACGTGGCCTACCACTTTGTGGCTGAGTTGCTGTCATTCCCAATCGCTTCCACTTCCGCTTGTTATAATACCACTGACAGTTGACTGTGTGAGGAAATGACAGTTTAGTAGTGAGGAAATTTCACGCCTGGACTTGTTGCACAGGTGGCATCCTATCACGGTACCACGCTGGAATTCACTGAGCTTTTAAAAGTGACCCATTCTTTCAAATGTCTGTAGAAGCAGTCTGCATGCCTAGGTACTTGGTTTTATACACCTGTGGCCATGGAAGTGATTGGATCACCTGAATTCAATTATTTGGATGGGTGAGTGAATACTTTTGGCAATATAGTGTATGTTGCTTTTGCTGGCAGGGCTCATGGCTCAGTTTAACAATAATACATGACCTTTTAATAAATAACATTCAGGTTTGTCTTTCAATTTTCATTGATTTTATGCCTAATAAACAGCTGATAATAATTATTAATCAAATGTCTGTCAATTATGAAAGTCAAATGTCTGTCAATGAAAATTATTATATAAAAAACTGTGCATCTTGCCCTGTACAAAACAGCAGGCCTTATTAGATATCAAATTTTAGCACTCAGCATAAATCCAACAGAACAGAAACTTAATAAAAACATGGTCACCTAATGCTAATAATTTAGTTTTACCAAATAATAAATAACATAATAAACCGGTATCAAATAAATTGCTTTTTTAATAATATAATAATAATAATAATAATAGCAGGTGCAAAGTAAATTATTTATCAAAAATGGCCACATACATAAAACTTTTTAATCTATATAGATTTGTTTGTAATGTCTCTGTTTCTACAGCAGACTCTCCAGGAAACATGACGTTTGACCCCTGCAGTGTCTACAGTGTTCTAGATAATGAGTGGCGAAGAACAGACAGCATGTTTTACACCAGCTATGGTCATTACGATGATACTCTTGTTGAATGGAGTGGCTGGTATCGTCTGTATCTTCAGGGAAAAAGTGCTCAGATTCCTGAATCATATTCATGTGTGAGTTTTATGTCCTGTGGTGGTTACACTGCACTTTTGCTTGGAGGATCTCATCCACAACTACAGGATGATATCGTCACCCGAGACATCTATGGCTATGTGACTGACAGCAGACAATGCAGTTCCTACAGATCAAACCCAATCCAAGTCAAAGCCTGTCCAGGAAATTACTATGTCTACAAACTTGTTAAGCCAGCTGTGTCACTTCCCATACCCACATACTGTGCAGGTAAAGTTTCTGTTTCCTATTTTGGGCCAGATTCACAAAACTTGGCAGTAACAGCGCTATATCAAGCAAAACGTGCAGCACAGTAAACAAGATCTGTTCTTAAAGTCACTGTGGTGGTGATTGTCACACTGGTGTCTTTTTCATACTATGCTATTTTAAAGTGTTTCCTAGGCAAGAACAAATCAAAATCCACATTTTCAGTCAAACATTAAAAACCCACAACGTGAAGCTCTGCCGAAATTGATATAATTAAAGAAATGAAAACAAAGAAAGAGAGAAAAACACAATTCTCAAAAACAGAGCTACGAATTTTAAAGCAAGACATGCCAGCAAAATTCAACGTTTAATTGTATGAAATTATATTTCAGCATGTTAAATTTCATTTCTCAAAGGAAAGAATTCAAACAATTTTACAATTCTTTATAATTGCAGTATTTTTCTTTGTACCAGAATGAGTTAAAGTTTAACATTTGGTATTTTTATTACACTTGAAAACTGATAAGCTGTAATTTCCAATGAACATTTTAGCTTTTATTTTCTTCGTTTTTCCTGAGTTTTCCTCGATCTCAGGAATTCAATTTGCACATGTAAAAATTTTATTTTAATTTGTAAGAAAATGCCAATAGAATAATAAGATTAAAAGCTAAAACCAATGGCAATAAAATCTATTTTACATTGAATTAGAATCACAGTATGCCAAATTACTCTTTATTTATTTAGATTCCAATTTAAACCTACTTTTCAGACACAGGAGGGGGATTCAAAAAACATTTTGATGCAGGAAGAACAGTTCAGTGCCAGTGAAAACAAGTTTGCTTTCCTCTTCATGTACTCCTACAGCAATAGTGATGAGGTTTAGTGGGTAAATTACCATCAGAGTGATTCAGGCATTATTTTGTGTGGGATTGTATCATGTTATGAATCACTTCTCGTGCATATAAATGGAAAATATGGCAATACCTCACAACATGCAAGCTGTACAAAAGCCATAATCATTGTTTATACATACATACATACATCCCCTAAACCGCTTATCCTTCTGGGTCGCGGTGGGGTGCTGGAGCCTATCCCAGCTGTCATTGGGCAGAAGGCAGGATACACCCTGGACAGGTCACCAGTCCATCGCAGGGCAGACAGACAGACATACATACAGTCACACACTCACACCTGGGGCAATTTAGTGTGTCCAATCAGCCTGACTGCATGTTTTTGGACTGTGGGAGGAAACCCACGCAGACACGGGGAGAACATGCAAACTCCACCCAGAAATGACCCTGGTTGCCCGGCCAGGAATCGAACCCTGGCCATTCTTGCTGTGAGGCGACAGCGCTACCCACTGTACCACTGTGCCGCCCTAATCTTTGTTTATGAATGAGCAAATGTGTTATGACCATACTCTTAATGGTACAGTAATTCTTGTGGTGCATTTCATGAATCTGCCCCTATGCCTTTTCACAAGTATTTGCTAACTGACATGATTAGCATTTAATGACTAATTTTGCATGTATGAATGAATGTTTTCCCTTACTCAACTTTGTACTTACTGTTACATATATATATATATATATATATATATATATATATATATATATATATATATATATATATCACTGTTATATTTTGACTTTATTATGTGTTATCATTATTATTATGTATTGTGTTGACAGTTGTGTTGGAGACTCTCAGTTATGATCCCTGTAATAACTACATGTCTCTGGATCAACCCTGGAGAGGCACTAATGAGACTGGAGAGTTCAACTGTGACGATGACTATAACTGGACTGGCTGGTATCGGCTGCTGTATAATGGGATGAGCGTCCGTATGCCAGAAAGTTGTGTTGATGTATTCAGATGTGGTACTTATATCACTCTGTGGCTGAATGGATCTCACCCTCAGATAGAGGATGGAATAGTCACTCGTGCAGTCTGTGGGAATGTAGGCTGGGAGGGCTGCTGTAATCTTAGATCCACTCCTATTCGAGTCAAAGCATGTCCAGGAAACTATTATGTCTATGAGTTTGTCAAGCCATACTTCTGCGCTGCTTACTGTGCAGGTACTGCTTTTGTATTCGATTTTTCAGAGTTTTTAGCGTTTATCAGAAATACAGGTTTGTTTTTATGTCTATAATTCAGATATGATCACCACAGTGTGAGGTGTTAACAGTGATCATTTTAACTACACTGTACCTGATAGTAACCGGAATGTCTGTGGGATTTTTTAAGAATAAACGATTATTGAGATGATTCGCAAATCACATTTCACAATTATTTGAACTTTTTAAATATTTCAACTCCTTATTTCAGAGGAGCTAATGACAGTGGTGTTCTTGTTGGTTTGTCTGACATGACCTTAACTTGTCTCATTTTAGAGACAATAAAAGTCATCAGCAATGATATCCAATTTGGAACAAAGTTCTTTTGCTAGGGAGTATGTTTTTGTGATATTGTGATCTATAAATATTATTTTATAAACAGTCAAAATGTTGAATAACAAAAGTTTCTGCTTGCTTAAATCTTAATGATTACCTCAACTTATTTTAGAGATTTACTTGTGGAATTACACCCCGCAGAAATGCTTGGTGTATAAAAAGAGGGAAATTCATTCATAGAATAACCTTCCACTCTGTGGTGTATTGTGTATGACTGTTGGATATACAGAATCATAAACAAGTTTTAGGACATTTAGAGTAAAACCTGTCTGGCTCTTTAGGACTGGTCTCAGATCCACTGCTATTTGTTCTACCACCCCATGAAAAGTTGACCAAGTGAAGGTGCACAAAGCTCTAAATTTGGGGGAGGGGGGCAATAATTGTGACTCTTTTATCTTTTGTAGATTTTTATTTCCACAGCTAAAATGAAGATGCTACGCTTATCTTTTTGTGTCAAACTAATAAAAACATGGATCTTAAAGTGCATTCTTTTACTTGCTTTTCCTTTTCAGATCAAAACTTAGCTACATTTGAAGAATGCAAGGTTTGTTACAATTTCATTACATATGGGGTATAGTAATTATGATATTTGATGTCTGTAGAATGTTGAAGTTAGATAACAATCAACTGTAGCTATTCTGAGTTTTAATGCACTTTTTGTTTTAGGAAAACACCCTAAATTGTGCAAACAATCTGTTTGATCAAATCAACAACAGCAGTAATCCAGTGTATTCAAAAGAAGTAAGTACTGCAAAAACATAGTGACTGAAGAAATACTTGTAATGAGATCACATGCATTTGTGTTCATACATTCATTTATGCATACTGATGTTTGTAATTGTCTCTCTGGTTATTTAATCAGACGGTAGAGGTGCTACTCGAGCACACTCTGAAAAATCAAACAATAAATTCAGATCAGCTTGTAGCCTTTGGGAATGAAATTCTAAACAAGACTGAGACATTGATGTCTACACTGGTGAACCGTCAACAAGGAAACTACTCAGTTAACATCTCTGTCAGTGGCTTAGGTAAATGGGTATATAATTGACTCATTTGTGGAAGATTCTTATAAGAAATAAGATTCTATTTGTGTTGAGTGCACTTTTAAGACAGTGAAGATCAAACATTTCACATTAAACATAGCAAAATCCGTATGAAGCATAATTAGCTTTTAAATCTGAAATTCATTGCCTAGAATTTGTGCACATACTCTTTTATTGAAATCTTTGTAAAAACAACTCAAACTGGAATGGAAAGGTCAACAGACTGCTTCAGATAGAGACTCTCTTATCATAACTATTTAAAGTACATTAAATATAGGCAAATGTAAAGCAGCTGTTTAATGTATTACAATGCAAGCCATCATATTACCTGGACATTATTTTCAAATATTATATCTGCAATGGTTTCATATGCCTTACCAATATAATTGGTTTATTAATAGAAATAAATATCTAGCACATTATGAGGGTATTTTTATAGGATAAATCTATTTACTATATTAGTATCAGAATTTGGTGCTATCCAAAACATTGAACATGAACATAACAGGAATAAAAAAATAATTATTGTGTAGAGAAGTAAAAAAGAACCCTTTTTATTTTATTTAAAATTGAAAATGCTAGTGATACATGGCATTTGTAATTGCTTTTTTACTTTATATTTTTCAGATGTTCAAGTCCTTGCAGTTGGATCGAATATCTCATTGAAAGAAATCCCTATGCCTATAAACAAGACTCAGAAGGATAACAACCCTAATCCGATTTTAAAGGACTACAGTGGTATTGTAGCGATCTTTGAAAGCTTGTGCTCTTACTATATCAGTGTCAGAATTTGGTACTATGGGGATGGTGTACATTTACTGTACTGGGTACATGTATCTAAAAAGGACTGAGTATTATTAATTACATGTATATAATTTAGACAAATATAGATCGAACCATATCATTTTAATCCAATGAATTCACCAAGTTTCCGTCCCTGCATCAAAATTATTAGGAAAAAGTCTATTATTTCAACAAATATTAATAGCTTTAACTTATCACTTTAAAAAAATCTTCTTATTGCTTAGAAAACTTCCTCTAACTTAGAGGAACTTAGAAAAACCCTTCTTATTTGATTTAACATCCAAAACACTGCTGTTGCATGGCATTTTTTATTGCTTTGAAACTTTATATCTTTAAAATCTTCATGTCTTTACAGTTAAACCAAATGTCTCCTCAAGAAATATCCCTCAGCTCAGCATAAACAATGCTCAGATGGATATCGACCTCACCCAGATTTCAAGGAATAACAATGGTATTGTAGCAATCTTTAAATGTTTGCACTCATCTGCTAACAGAGTTGGGCTAATGTATTCAATCCAGGGTCAGTTCTAAAGATAAATGCGAGCCATTAACTGCAATAAAATAAGTCTTTTACGACCCTCACAATAGAACAGAGACATTTTAGAAATGCATGCTGTAGAATTATGAAGTAAAAATTGACTTTCATATCACAAAAAAGTAAAGATGAAAAACAGAAATAGTTAAGCTGTCCAAATTTCTTCAAAATTCCTTGTTAATAATTAATAAATGTTTTTTTTTTAATCAATTGGATTCATATTTTTCCCTCTGATTCCTTTACATTTAGATTATGTTTTTTCAGTAGATTTTTGTTGTTGTGCTTCAGGATCAGCAGCTGTGGCCTTCATGAGCTTCACCAACTTGTCAAGTGTGCTGGAACCTGGCCTGTTCAGTACAATTAACGCCACAAAGAAAACCATGATGTCCACCGTGATATCAGCCACACTGCCCAGAACTACCTACCAACAGCTCGACACACCTGTCAACTTCACTATGAAACACATTGCAGTGAGTTTGCTCAATCGCAATCTTGCTTAATCTCTAATCAGAGTAATTAAATATACAGTTTTATAAGATATTACTTTATTTCTGTGTTATTTATTTTGAAGTCTGCAAAATGCTGCTCAGTTGCATTTAGTTTACAATCAAAAAATTTTGTGGTAATACACTTTTATTTTATTTTCAAATTTTTTAGTTTTACTTTTACTCCAAGCCTTTACTGAAGGTGCAGCATAATTTATTATTCCAATCTGGCCATTCTCTAACTAGAATTATGTGTAGAATGTACAGTAAGAATATGCAATAACTTAAGTGGCCAGTGAGGTGGACTGATTTTGTGTCTGGTTATGTGACACATCCATCTTTTTTGTTCTCTTGTTCAAGGTGTTTTGTCAAGCCTCTATGCATATATACAAAGAGGCAATGTTTATTGCTGTGGGTGTGCAGCCTCCCTTTGCAAACATGACAGCCCTGACTCTTCTCCTGTAATGCTTAATGAGTTTGCAAAACACATGACAAGGGATTGGAGATCACTCTGCTGTACAGAAACTCTCCAGATCCTTCAGATTCTGAAGTCCACACTAGTGAACTCTCCTCTTCAGGTCATCCCTCAGGTCTTCTATGTGGTTTAGGTCAGGGGACTGGAATGGCCAAGACAAAACTTTGATTCTGTGGTCAGTGAATCATTTTATGTTGATTTAGAGGTTTGCTTTGGATCATTGCTTTGCTGAAAGATCCAACCACAGCCCAAACACAGCTTCCTGACTAAGGCAGCCTGGTTTTGATTTAATATCTGCTGGTACTTGAGGGAGTCCATGACAGCGTGTATCCAAACAAGTTGTCCAGGGAAGAAGAACAACCCCACAATAACTTCAGGGATGAAGTACTTTGCTGCATTGCTATCTTAGTGTTTATGCCAAGCTAACTTCAGGTGTTTGTTGCTACAAAGCTTTTTTGGTCTCATCTGACTATAGACCACAGTCCCACTGAAAGTTCCAGTAACATCTGGTGAACTGTAGGTGCTTGAGTTTGTTAACAGAGGCCTTTTCTGGCAACCCTTCCAAACCACTTGTAGTTGTTAAGGTGGCATCTGATTGTAGTTTGGGAGACATAACTACAGTCAGATGCCACTTTTGACCCCAAGACACAGCTAATGTCTGCAATTCCCTGTGATCCTTGGTGATTTTATGGCCATCATCCTCCTCACTGTGCTTGAGGTCAATATAGACATGTGTCCTCTTCCTTGCAGATTCTTAACTTGTCTAGTGGCTTTAAACTTATTATTGCACTGATAGTGAAAATGGGCATGTTTAGCTATTTTTTTTAGCTCAGCAAATATTTTGTGGCATGTCATTGCTGTATTCTCTGGCCTTTCTCATATTTATGGATGACTGAGGGAACTTGGCTCGTGTATCACTTCGTATTTATACTACAGTGAAACAGGAAGTAATGACTGACAATGTAAGTGTTCTTAATCATTTAGGTAAACATTAAAACAAAATATGAATGGGAAGA